CAGGCGCCGGCCGAGGACCGAGCCGGAGGAGAGCGTCGGTGGGGACGGGAGGGGACAGGGCAGCTGTGTCACCTTGCAGGGGCACTCCCTCAGAACAGGCTGTTCTTAAACTTCCCTCTGCTCTGCTCGCAACTGAAAGTTCTCGGGACAAGCGTACCTTCAAAACACAGTGTGGATGCCCGTATTGCACCTCTCTCTCTCTCTTTTTTTTTTTTTAATCTGACCATTTTACTGCAGTGCTTTGCATTGGTTTTGGAGGTCTGTGAGACTGTGTTTTGTTTGCCCTGCCCTTCAAAAGTAAACAAACATCCTGACATGTTGCTGCTTCTCCCTAGGCTCTTCCTCACACTCTGGGAGTTAACTGAATCGCCTCTTTAATTTCACTGTTCCCAGAAGTGTGTTGTGCACTGCAGCATTATTCATGGATTCATTACAGACGTGACATTGCAGGGATGCATTCTCTCAGCTGCATCGTCCCCAGGGTGAGCTGTGCCACAGGGTTTCCCCAGGGAGCACAGATGACACCCTCAGGTGTACAGATGACCAATTCCACCTCTGGGCTGCCTTTCTTTTGGCCTTTTTTTTTTTTTTTTTTTTTTTTTTCCATTTTTTTGTGAGATGATGGGGGCTTGTCACAAAACCATTTTGAGCATGTGTGAGACACTTAACAATACGGTTAACATACATCCCTTATCTTCCCTGACAGAGAAGCTTTCTAAAATCTGGACAGTACTGCAAAACCACAAAGCCCTTTTCCAACAAACAATCTTTTTGTGTCTCACTCCAGACAGGCTTTGGTTTGCACTACAATAGTAATGTGGTGCATTAGAGTTTTAAGAAATGTATCTACATCTATTTCCTGGTCTCCCTCACAAAATATAAATCACCATTAGCATTGCTATTACACAACAAATGTCACTGCCTGTTGAACTCAAGGTTACACTTAACCTATCTTTGAAACTCATTTTGTGTAAATAAAACATTAAATTAAATAAAATTGGAGGAATTCACTAAGATGAACAGAAATGTTTGGGAAATTGCTCAGGGTACATGAACTGGTTCCTAAGACATGAAAGAACACCTCCTGTTTCTTGTGGAGAGCTTCTTTTTGGGAGTTGGCCTTCTCACCTGGGGCTCAGCAGCTTTCTGGTGGCATATCCTGGTCTCAGAAAGATATTTCTAAAATGCCTTGTTTAGTTCTCCATCTGAATCTATGAGGTATTCAGAATTTCTCTGTTTTTCATGGTTACTGGCCGATCAGGCAAATAACATCGCTTTGTGCCTCTACACAGATCTTGTTCAACAGCTCTCTGATGATCGTCCCCTTGCATGTCCTTTATTCCTTGCCACAAGGGCCACTTACAAAGAAGGTTAAGACCTGATGGGTCTTAACATCGGGACTGACATTCACCTCTACCCATGTAACCTGTTAGTGGCTTTGCTGGAAATCCACCTAGCACTGGAAAAAAAAAGAGTAACTGTTCCTTGCTCTTGTTAAAACTTTTCTTCTTTACTTCCCTGGCACTGAGCTTGGGGATGTTTTGGTAGCTATTCCAGGGTTAATAGTCTTTCTGCCCAACCAGCCGCTGTTAAATGTTGGCTCTTGAAGGCTTTTCCTTTGCCCATTAATCCCAGATCTGGTGAGACCAGTAAGGCAGTGAGGTGTGCATCTCTGTTTTTACAGTGCTAATGATAGACTTGTAAAGGGGGGGAGGCTGTTACTGGGGTTTTACTGTAACACTGACTCTTTTTCCTGTGCATAGCTATACTTTGACGTCGTATGCTTGAACTTACAGATCAAAGAGAATTACCAGAATGATCCACTTGTGAATTGTGGGCCATTATCTGTTATTAACTCATCTTGAGCACTGTGGTGAGCAAACTGTAATTTACAGTATGTTATTATATTTCTGCTCACTGTGGTGTGCAGCAGCTGAATGTGTGTGTGTGGTAGTCCATGATGAGAAATAATCTTTTCTAGCTAATTCAAATAGATCTTTGCCAACCTCCACTAAGGTTGATCAAGAATTTAATTTACTTCTAATAATTTTGTTTTTCTGCTTCCTGCTCCTCCTACCACATTTAGGAGAGGAGAAGGTTTCACCTTCTCCATTTCTCTTCAGTACATGCTTGCTTCCAGGAAAACTTGGAAGCGCAGCAACAACCTCCTCCAGTTCTGTGCCAGATTTCCTTCAGGATTTAATGATTCAGGTGGCTTCATTTGCTAGATTTTTGCCAAAAAAAAGTAGTTCTCTACTGACACCATATAATAAAGTTGAGCAAACAGGAGGGCTGGTAGGAGACTTATTTTTATTGCCTGGCACTAGTCATGTGACAGATCAGGTTACAAAACAGTAATACCCCTGCCAACTCTCAGGATTCACCAATTCCTCTTGCTACTGTTTTAATCCAACCTGTCTTGTATATTTTTTTTCTTTTCTTTCCCCCCCACCTCCTTTTCGTTTTTCTGAGGGCAGGGGGTGAGGGGGGAGGCATTAGACTGGGGCAGGAGATAGAGTGAAAAGCAAGTATATCATGATTGGGAGTATCCCTTTAGTTCCTTCAGTGTTTGTTCAGCACTTTTTCGCCAGCTGAATAGCTTATTCCCTCTGAGTGTTGGCAGCCTTTGGCAAAAGTAAAGCAATGTCAGCATTCCCCTGTTCCATCTATTTTTTGGAAAAAATCATTAAAAATATTCCATTTTCACCTTGTTTGCAAGTTGTGATGAAGACTTCTCCAATTAAATTGTGACATTCTGGCTTGAAAAACGACTTCAAGATCAGGAAGATAAGATCACTCTCCACCCCTCCTCCCCCCAAAAAATCTTCCTTCTTTCTTATGGAAAGAAATTCAGCAATTCAGTGGAGCCATTTCTTTTATTAGCAGTGAGACAAATACATTTTCAGAAAAATTGCTGATAAAACAACAGATTTGGAAAATGTAAATTTTATGCAACTCTCTGGAGTTCTTCACAGTGGTTTCCTCTTTGTCCCTTCTTCCAGCATACAGCAGAACCAGAAGATTTGGTGTTACACGTTCCTGCAGGGAGTCTACCCACATAGGTAGATACCCAGTATATTTGTATAGTCTCTGATTCCGTAGCTACGCTGCTACTGGTACCTCAGCTGCATTAATGTGGGCATGACTGTGTCCACAGCGTCCTCAGGGCGCACCTCTCCGACAGAAGTAACTCCTAACAGTGGGCTGAGATTTTTGTGCAAGGAGGGAAAAAACCCTCCATGGTGCTCATCCCAAAGGCACTGATGCTTTTCATTGTGTAAAAGGTATAGAGAATAACAACACATCTTTCTCCACTTTTATGAAAGAAGAGCTGTGGTACAGGGAAGTTGGGAGACCGGTTCAAGGCAACAAAAGACTTCCCTGGTGAATTCACGAGTCAGAATTAAGGTGAGAGTGTAGTCCCCGTGTTTCAGCTATGAGACCACCCATCATCTCTTTTGGCGAGCATGAATGGAAATGCACTTCTGCCTTCCAGTGTCTTTGACCATGGTAGTTTCCAAGTGGGAGTATGCTGCAATTGTTTTAGTTTTTCCATCTCTGCTCTTCTTTCACAAGTTGCCTATCCAAACCTGCAACGCTATTGCATCGTCCTCAGTCAGAGCTCTCTTGAAAATGTAACCCAACTCTGATTTCTGACAAAACAACCTCTTGTAACGAGGAGTTTGTTGTGACTGCCCCTGCAGCTGGGCAGGGTTAAAGGACGTAAGTGTCAGCAATAACTCCTTGCATCCGCCTGCCTTTGCCTGCTGTGGACACTGACTGTAAGCTTTTCGGGACAGGGACCATCACTTTCTACAACCCTACAAGGTTTTGGCCTCTCAGTACTTCTGACTGCGGCGCTGACGATGTCCCCTTAGAATGACCATTTTTTGAAGACTTAAATAACATACATTCCTCACTTCAGTTTTTATGAGATTTTTAATGGTGTGAGAAACGATTAAATTTATTTTTTGGAAGTCTTTCCTCCTCAACTGCAAATAATACAAGTGCAAAAACATCGGGAGGATAATACCATCCACAGCTAGGGAAAGGCAGTGTTGGATTTCTACACTTCCTTTGAGTCTAACAAAATGGAGTTAATTTAATAAACTGATAGGTTTTGATAAACCATGGCCGTGTTGTGATGACCTGCTTCTTGGGTATGTTTCCTTGTCCTTTAGGCAGTTTCATTTCTCTGTGTGCAATCACAGCACCCTCTACTGCCTCTGGCTTAACCTGCACAAGGACAGCGACTGATTCTAAACTAAAAAAAAGGACTTTTGGAGCGACTAGCGTCTCCGATTATGAAGTGTTGTTTTACACGGGGAACAACACCCTCATCATGAGAATGATAATGCAAGGGCTTTCATTTCTGTCTCGAACGGAGTCCTGAGCTTCGAAATGAACAGAGCGAATTCCTCAGGGGCTCAAGCACCTTTCAGCGTGAGAGTGGTTTCCCCCTTCTATCCGTAGGTAAGGCATTACCTTCCATTTTTGTGAAGTCCACGGAGGAAAAAGGATCAGACTTTCCTAGTAAGAAACATGAAAAGGCACTAGATGAAATTCTACTTCTGTGCGTCCCCAGATCAATCAGCCTGGACCTGACAGAAAACTCCCCCGTTTCCAGAATCTGCCCCTCAGGAGCTTCGAGTATCGCGGGTGTGAAACGCCCTCCCGCCCCACCCACGGGCTGTTTCTCGAACCCACCCGGGGCTCTTCACCGAGTCCCACCTCGCACCCTCCGTGCCCTCGCCAGGACCCTTTGCCCCGGCCCTCCCAGGCCTTGCCGGGGAACGACGGCCGGCGCCTGCGCCGCGTTTCCGCGCGAAGCGCCGGGGCGGGGGTTTGAGGGCGGCGGCCATTTCCCGCCTCCCGCACCAGGCACCGGCTGCTCCTCCCCCGGGGGCGGGGCCAGGGGCGGGGCGGGGCCAGGGGCGGGGCGGGGCCAGCTCCGTGGCTGACGTGGCGCTCCCCGCCGCCCGCTCCCTCCTCCCCGCGGCGCGGGGGCGGTGCCGCGCGTGCGCCCGCGCGGCGTTTCCGGGTGGGGCCGGGATGGTGCTGCTGGAGAGCGAGCAGGTGGGGGGGGGGCACCGGGCACCGGGTACCCGAGGTGGGGGGGAACCGGGCACCGGGCGCGCTGGGAGCGGGGTCCCTGCGAAGCCCCGCCGGGGAGGGGGGCGGGGAGCGGAGCGGCGTTGCCCCCGCCGGGCGGGAGCGCTGGGGCCGCGGGGTTTAGGCCTCGTTTTCCGGCGTCAGAACCTCGGGCTGGGCTCCCCCGCCCGGCTGCGCCCGCGTGTCCTGCAGCCCTAGCGTGGGGGCACCCACGGGTTGGCCTTGCCGCGGAGTGGGGGGGTGGGGGGGACCCGGCCTGCGGCTGCTCGTGGGGGGGAAGGGAGAAGGGAGAAGGGGCCGTGGGGCGGCCTCCAGCCCAGGACCGGGGTCTCTTTCTCTTGCAGTTCCTGACAGAGCTGACCAGACTCTTTCAAAAGTGCAGAACTTCGGGGAGCGTTTTCATAACGCTGAAGAAATGTAAGTTTTATGTTTGCTACTGGATCAGCGAGGTGTTCTGAATCAAGCTTGGTGTTGTTAGCACATGTTTGAAAGGAGACGGTTGTAATTCAGAGTATCTGAAAACAAGATTAGTTATACGGACAAATCCATCGTCCTAGCTCAGTGCTAATAACCTTGAAGTAAGACTTCAAGTAAGAAGTAAGTATTTCCAACTGCAGGAAATATGGGGACTTCCTAATTATTTAACAATAATTGAAAATCCTTAGATTTCTATAAAATGAGAATTAGTGTGTTGCTTTTGTGTGTTTGTTTCTCTGGTTTCTGACTAGCTGGCACTACTGGAGAAGTTAAGTGTCCTATGGTGCAGTTTCAACATGCATTTAAAACATGCTGCTGCTGAAGCATGTCAGGACAGGGATTTACTTTATTTTCCTGGCAGATGTAGGTCATAGAACAGATCCTTCTGAGGTTACAGAGGGAGGGGTCTGTGAACAATCTGGCGGCATCGTCGGTTCAGATTGCCTTAAATTCCAAGGTGTTTTATACAGATCTCGTGAGCAGTTTTTAACACCCCATGTCAGGAGGCAGCTGGTGATTTTAGTGAAATATGAATAAACATTCTCTGTCTGTCAATACAGATGATGGCCGAACAAAACCAGTCCCACGCAAAGGCCACGCAGAAAGTTTTGAACCAGCAGACAATAAATGTCTTCTAAGAGCAACTGATGGAAAGAAGAAAATTAGCACAGTGGTAAGTGACAACTTTGGATTAGAAAGATTAGTGGCCCTACTTGTCTTTTATTTAATGCCCTGTATTATAAGTGAAACTTGTCTTTATGTGAATTTTGTGAGAACTACCCTCTTAATTCCAGAGAAACCATATGGTAGCTAAACACACAGCTGAAGTGTTACGCTTACCTGCAGTCTTAATGCTTATATTTGGCATTACAGACAGGAGAGCAGTTTATAGTTTTGCTGCGCATGCTGGACTTTGCTTCAGAATGGTGTTGTAGGACAGCAGCGAGATTCTGCCTGCTTTCAGCAACCTTGGCTGTTGTGTTTTGAGTCTGGTAAAAACCGTTTGGAGGGAAAGGGATAACTGCTTCCAGAGACGTGGGCAGAAGGACAGAGGGCAGATACAGAACCTGCAGCATGAGGACAAGTGGTGTAGCTCCAAGGAGAAGAAAGGTCCTGCACACCTACACTCCAGCCTCAGTTGACAAAGAGGATGGAATCACTGAAGGTTCTTGCAACCCAGGAAAGAACTGAATGTTCCCAGCCTGTGAAACAGTAGGAGAGGGATCCTTGTTTCCTGGCAAGAACATTGTGGGCCTGGATAGACTTCTAAGCCTTAATCTTGCTTAGCATACCTATTTTTTTTCTCATTTACGCAGCTATTTTTATTTCAGAAAATGTTAACTAGAAGTTGAAAACCTTATGTGTGTTTATTTTAAATGAGATTGAGAAAGGCTTTAGCTGACTTTAGCTCTCCTCTGTGATGAAACCCCAGGAAAAACATTACCTTGCAGAATAGTTGAGAGAATCTGGGCTGCAACGTATTTTTATGGCCCTACAAGTAAAACCTTCCTTAAAATGTCTTCACGTTCTTCCCATTTGAAAACACAGATTTGGGATCAATGGCCTGCAGAGGATTTTTGTTAATCAAGTAAGGAGCATTTTCAGTCTTCTAAATCCATGAAGTCCTCTGACATGTTAGTACAGCTTGCCTACCACTGAATGGGATGGGCTGATCCGGCTGCTGCTAAAAAGACTAGGTGGTGGATAAACGCGTACTGATACTTGGTTTGTAATAGAAACCAGTGTTTTCTTGGTTAACTTCCAGTATTACTCTTGTAGGTGAGCTCAAAAGAAGTAAACAAATTCCAGATGGTAAGTTTTGTATGCCTTTTGTCTTCCTTTTCTGTAGGTATTGGGGAGCGGTCAGTAGGCTGCACTGGACAGGTGTGAACAGGTTGCTTCAGTGCTGAACTGCCACACAGATTAACCTTAGACTACCCCATCTATCTTCATTTGTTTTTAAAAAAAAAACCCAAACTCCTGTTGTATTTTATATAACTTTCTGCATTGATTTAGAAACAACAGTTTTCCAGTGTAGGGTGTAAGCATGATTTTCTAACTGAGAAAATGCAGATACCACCTATTCATTAGTAATATATAAAATGTTACTTCTAGCATATTGTCATTTAAGTATGTGTTCTTTTAATGGTTCCAATTGTTGTTTCAGGCATATTCAAATTTGCTGAGAGCGAACATGGATGGCTTGAAGAAAAAAGACAAGAAAAGCAAAAACAAGAAGAGTAAAGCAACACAGTGATGGAGCAGTGTCCTGCCATCCCTATAACAGACTTGACCCTTGCTCAAAGCAAAGCCCATTTCTTTTTGAGTTACCACTTGTCTTTGGCTTTCCTTCCAGCAGGATACTGGGATGTGATCAGTACTTTTGTTTAAACTGAGAGCAGAAGGTGCTTTCTGTGGATTGTTGTATGGCAGGAGTATTTACAGGGTTATACTGAAGTAGCTTTATACTCAGCTGCCAACTGGTTTTGTACTTATCCTGCTGTCTGTTTTATATTGTATGAGTGTAAAATCTGTTTGAGGAATAACACAGGGTGACAAGGAATGTACCAGGAGCAAAGCGAGACTGGAGCAGGAGTCTCAGTGACAGATGCCCAGTTTTATAGATAAGCCTCAGTAGTACTAGGGGAAGTGGGTGCCAAAATATTATCAGGAGCAGCAGCTTTCCTGTTTCTCTCGTTTTGAGAGACATGTCTATGTGATGCAGTGCAGATATCCCCAAGGCAGCCAGCACAGTGCTTGAGCTCTTGCAGAGCCAGGCAGCTGTGCCTTTGCTCCATGCTGATCCAGCTGTGCTGATCCAGCTGTGCTCACCCTGGCTCAGGGTGGGGGGGCAGGCAGGACTCAGTGTTCCTTTTGGACATGGCTTAAAAATGCTCATGTCACCTAAACTTTTTTTTTAAAGCTTCATCCTTCAGTATATTCAGGGATATGAATTTCCCCATACTTCAAATCTTACAGTAGTTCCTTCATATGAGCAGGTGTAATTGTTCCTATTAAATACAATGAGAAATGGATTTGGTTGTAATGACTTGTTACTTGTTTTGGTGAATTGCTAGAAGGGTGACAGTTACCTGTGCCTTCAGGCACTGGAAGGATAGTAGCAGTTGATGCTACAACTTTCACAGTTCTCAGTTCTTGGGTTTGCCTTTAAAGTTACTTCTTTATATATTCTAACATTGTAACTTTGCCATCCTCTTTACAAGAAAAGGTTAGAAAAAGTAAGTAGGTATTTCTTAATGCAGTGAGCCTGCAGTGTTAATGCAATCATTTGAGTTAAGCAAACAGGAGTAAGCTGTTTAAAGAGACGGGTACCAGGTGGGGAGGGAGGGTAAACACCAGTGTATTTCCAGAAATCCCTAACTTCTCTGCATATTCACTTGAGTATTTTAAGTAGTTTGATGTGAAATATAATGCATAGTTAACTATGGCTGCTGTAACTCAGCTTCAGATTGGCTCCGCTTCACTCTCCTTGATAGGGCTGTGTTACAGTTTAGCTTCTTCAAACTTAATCTGACAATCCCTGTGAAGAAAGCTAGGTTCCAAACTTTGGTTATGTATCTAGCCACATCCAGGTTACTATTCTTCTTAAAAGTCTTGGATGAAATAAGGCCTGATACAGGAAAATCTTCTAGGAAGCTGCTGCTTGATGCGAATGCAAAAGTACAGGCAGGACAAGTTGGGCAGCCAGGCTTGCAACCCCCCTCTGAGATTGAAATACAACATCTTTATATAAAATGAAGGTAGTGGGTTTAAAAAAAAAAGACAAAAAACTTGTAATATATATTTCAAGAAGGCTCAGTAGCCAGACCTTTATTAAATGAAAACCCTTCTTCAAAAAAGTTTAAAAACAGTTTGTTGGAATTGAAGATGCTTTATCCTCTCTAACCCTTGGAGTGATTTTCTCATTTGAGCCGTACTGTTGCATGTCAACATAAAAAACATTCTGAAAGTATTTAAAAAAAAATTAGGTTTATACCTGCACAGCTGATAAATAGCTTTATGTGGCATAAGGAGCAAGAATGATATAGTAATATATATCCGTGGCTCTGGTCAGACTTGCTCTTTAGTTGCATATAAAACACTTCTACTTTGACATAAATTTACAGTTTTATACTACACATGAAATTCAATCTGGACACATAAAAAGGCATCAAATTGCCCGACTTGCATTATTACAGATTTCTGAAATTCCTCTTAACAACACACTTGTGTGTTAATAAAAAGCATCCCAAGAAAGATGCTTTAAGCACTAGAACAAAACCTTGTAGTCATCTCGGTAACTGTACAGGAGAAGTGCAGGAACCCTGCAGAGGGAAGGAAAAGAGGCTTTTTAAACTTTGAAACTGCAGGTTCAAAAGCTATACTACCCGTGGCAAATCTTAGCAATAAGCTAACAGCAAAGATTCAGTAGAAAAGCAGTAAGTTTTTGTTCCTTTGGCTGATTTCCGACCCTTCCCCTTTCATTCTCGTTCCAACTGTTCAGTTTTTGTTCAGGGCTCAGAAGGCTTATGGCAAAGCAGTGTTCTGTGTGCAGGCATCAAATGGCAAAGGAAGACTTTGTAAGGGACTATATTACATTCATACCCAACACTCTGCATAATATTATTTGCATGCAGTAATTGGGTGCTGTTGCTCACAGCCTTGCAAGCCACAGGAAGACAAAGATGTTTCACTTGCTATTTAGTTGCCTTAGTACACATTAGTAAACCTGAAGCAATTCTGGTGCATCTCTTAAGAAATCAAAGTCAAGTTTTAGTCTCATTTAAAGGTTAGGTAGTACCTGCAAGCTGAGCATAATTAAGAAAATGTATTGTAAATGAAACGCACATAAATACTCAGGTCTCACTTAACTGTACCGGTACATACAACAGTTGAACATTTGAGGCTTAAATCTGGATGTGCCCAGGTGCTCTGTTTCAGCCTTGCCAAAATCCAACAAGGAAAGTGAGTTGAACATAAATGTTTTTATGCTTAGAAACAGAAACGGGCTTTACTGTACATGTTGGGAGAGCATGCATTGTGTTCGCTTACAGATGGGCAGTCTGTCAGCTGTGCCAGATTCACACCATATTCCTTCAAAGCAGGAGAAATTGTCCTCATGAGTTTTAAAAGGCAAGCTGAGTCCCTCCCACGAGAAAGGAGGGTTATGATGTAGCAGTAGAGCTGAATGGAGGTGGTTGTTCGCTATTCAGTTTTATGAACGAAGCAGCAAGTGAGATAACAAGGGGAATACATTTTATAATTTCTTGTAAAAGCTTATAAAAATGAAGAATTTACATATTACCACAAGCAAGGAACTCGTCTCACAGTACTCAAGGAACTATACACATTTCCTGAATATTTTTTTCTTTCTCAGGGAGAGGGAAAAGGGAGGACAAATTAAGAGCAGCTTATTTAGTAATGCTTGAATGCAGAAATAATTGAGATGTTTTATCTATCTGTAAGAGCTTAACAGATTTACCTCTTTTCCATTTTGATACTGTAAATTTCATCACAAATTGCTTGTAGGTATGAAGATCTCTGTTTTGGCCATCGTGACATCAGTTGTCTCACATTCGCATCAAAGGCTTGCCTATCTCCATCAAACTAAGAAAAAAAAATTGACAGGGAACTATGCTACAGTCTTACATTCTCTTGTGAAAGAAATACTTCTGATAGGATTTAGGATTCAGTCTTCTGAACATTGTGTAATGTCAATGTTCCTTAATGAAACAGATTTCAAACAAAATTCATGTAAACAACATGCAACTTTTTTTTTTTAAATTAGGAAAAGGTATTAAGAATTTAGTGATCAGTTTCTAAACACAGATAGTTTAGTGATAAAAAGGCATAAGCAATGAAAAGGGCCCTACCAGTTTCACAATGCTGGACAGAATGTGAGAACTGTGGTGTAAGGGTGGTCAGAAGTGAATGATGCAAGCTGATTATGTGTTTTGTTTTGTTTTTAAAGTAAAAGGTGATAAACTATCTCCATGATTTGGACAGATTGGGTGAACTGAGTATTTTGAAAATAGTTTCGGATGTTTCACTGGGGTCTGATTACCAGACAAGCATTGCTTCAGAGCAGCAGATGAAAAGTATGAAAGTACTAATTCCACTTGCAGGCAGGATGCCATTCGTGCATTTGTTTTGGGATGGGGGTGGGGAGGCATCCATCTCTCTCCTAAGAACTTCTGACTTCAAAGCTACTGCTGTCACTGGAGGAAAGAAGAGATTTGTCTCTGGTGTTTTTTTCCCTGTCACTAAGCAGCTTCTGAGTTGTTAAAGGTGTCAATATAATACTTGTACATCCCCTTTTTATCTTGGCTTCACTAAGACGTGTTTCAGCTACTGTACTCAAAATAATTGCATCTATATTTTTGGTCCTTCAATAACAGCTTCAAAAAACCACCTTAGTTAAAACCGCTATTAATGCTTACTGATTTCTGAAAATGAGCAGTAAGACTTCATTTCAGTTAACTATTCTTGGGGAAAAAGCACAAAGCTTTGGATTAAGAGTTTCTAATGGTGTCTTGTGTAACTTGGGCATTTGACAAAAAGATTTTTTCCCAGCCTCAGTCAAGCTCCTTGGGTAAAAGCATCCTGTCAGGTTCTAAAACCTAATTCAAACTCCTTAACGGATAAAAATTACGAGTGAATTTTACACTCCGCTTCATTAGGAGTAGAATTTATCATCTATTGTTCAATTAGGAGTTTTAATGACAATACTTAATTGCTTACCTCTAATGATAAGACGTGCATCACAGTTGCTTTTGGCAGATCTACCTGTAAAAATATCATCAAGAGATCAGTACTTAACAGTTCTGTTATCAGTTTGCCAACTAGAGATTAGCTATACTGAAGGGAGTCAGACTATTTTTTCCAAAGCAACACTCGTGCTGATAGAGCTGGGAACTTACCAAGGTTTTAAGCATTTTAAACAAACTGTTGACAACAGATTCCACTATGGAAAGTTCCACAAAGGTGTAGGCAAATAGGCAGTATGTTTCCTGAAAAGCATTTACTATTTTAAAGACCTCTGTGACATGGTCAGCAAAGTCTAAAAGCTATACATGAACAAAAGCTATGTTGGTTTAAATGTAAGAGCCAATCTAGCTGGAACAAGTCATTAAATCTACCACAGTAGTTAGGGTAAGTGCAGCTTAAGAATTTACAACTAAATACTTATCAAATTCTGTTCTATGCAACTGTCCAGTACACACGATTTGAGATACTTTTCAAGTATGAAAGAAACATACCATGGGTCTTAACCAGAAGTTTGTTTCATTTGGATCTCTAAAGTGAGGCTATTGGCAGTAGTTTCTTCCAGATAGCAATTGCATCATCCAATTCAATTAAGAATTTGCAATTAATTCAGGCTTCTGCCAAATACTTACTGCTAAAATCTCAATCTCACTTGTTTTCTGTTGCAGGCTAGAAATGAATGTCTGAAGTCTTGTTTGCACCTGGCAACAAAAGATGGTCAAAAGTAAAATACACTGCTTCTGTGACAGAGGTCAAGAACCCTTCTATATTTCATAGATAATGAGAACAGAAGAGGCTGATTCTAACACAAGGTACTGAACTACATCATATTTAAACTAAAATGCACATTTAATACCATTTTCAGTAACAATTCCACAACAGTCCTTGATGAGTAGACAGGAAGGAGACTGGGGCTGAGCCACCCTTGCAGCAATGGTAAAGACTTGATAATACTGGTACTGTACTAAAGCAGAGAGAACTGCCCATTACAGTGTGAATTCTCACGTATATAGTAAAAACTGCCTTTCTGTTTCGGGGTGTTTGGTAACTTTTCAAAGGAATGCAAGAACCTGTGACTGGATACAGCAAATCATCTCTGGCTGAAGAAGGACAACTGATTTGAAAACCAAACCAAAGTACAGGTCATGATTTGTAACACTTTTTTCCATAGTAAGCTAGTAACCCTGCAAAGGTAGCACTTTATGAATGCAGTTGCAGCCTTGCACCAGTCTTTTGTACCTTGGAAAGACGCTTTTATATATTAAAAACC